CCCAAAATATTAATCACTTTTCAAAAATCAAGGATTAAAATAATATAAATTTCTTATTTTGTCTTTCTTTTAAATTTATTAACAACACAAAAAATACAATTATAACAATTTATAATTCCAAAAAAATGTACTATCAAAAGATAATTTTGAAAAATTAATATTTTTAAAGTGTAATAATTATACTATCAAAAAAATTAAATTTCCCAAAAATGAATTATTATTTTGAAACGGAGAGAGTAATATTATTATCTTACTTAATTATTTTATTTTTTTTCTCACAAACATTACATCCAACTATAAAAAATTCAATTATCTTCCCAAACACAAAATTTAGTCTATTAAAATAGTCAAAAATTAAAATAACCTACTAAAATAGTAACTTCCCAAACACCCATGATATGTCCTATCCTATATCAAACCAAGTGTAATTATAGAGTGATTAGAAAGTTGGTTAAAAGTTAACTTTTTGACTTTTTTTAATTTTTTTTGTCTTTTTATATATAAAAAATATGAGAGGTGATATGATCCCAAAATGAATTAAAAACTAAAAATTAACTTTTAACTAATTTTCCAAATTACCCCTACATTACACCTCTCTCTCTCTCTCTCTCTACTATACACACTACAATAAGTCCAGCTCCATCGCATCTCTATTTTTCCTCACTAATGCACATATACTATCCATTACTAAATTTGGTTTATTTAGGATGACTTTGGAGAGTAAGTTAAAAGTTAATTTTTTAGTTTGTTTTAATTTTTTTTTAAAAAACGTATGAAAAAATAAAAAAATAATATGTTTCAAAATAGATTAGAAGTTAAAAAATAACAATTTATCCATTTGCCAAACACAAGCCTTAGATTTCTAACTAGAGACCATTACCCCTACGGAAAAACACTATTCCACCTCAGAGGATTTGATTTAAAAAAAAATATATATCTGGTTCCTTCACAAAATAGAGGACTTCTTTCAAAACAAAATTGAATCAATTCACACCCTAGAATTTTAATTTTCAACTTAAGACCCTAAAGTTTACTACGTGTGTCAATATTGACCCACTGTCCGTCGCTGTTTGCACATTTGATGGAGCTATTTTTTGGGCACATTTGATAGAGCTATTTTTTGGGACCAAAATCACATCGCATATCTAAGTTTTAACTAAGCTGATCATAAGTTACACTTGAATAACTTGATTTTTTATAATGTATGTGTCTGAATTGATCCAAATAGTAGATTGTCCAAGTTTTGACTTAATAACTTATTAAATGTGTTTAACTTGTTTTAACATAATATTTACATAATGAGTTTACTTTAAACAAGTTTTTAATGAATTGAGCACAAATTGAATTCGAATAACTTGATTTGTTTCATAACCTAGTTACAAAGTGACAAACTAACAACTCAATCAAATTATTTTTGTATTCTCACAAATAATTAGAAACTAAAATTGAAGTAAAATAATCTAAAGAAAAACTCAGTCAGAATTGCATGATTCATAAATAAAATACAATCATTCTAACACTATTGTATAAAATTATTCTAAATTAAATACCGTGATAAGATAAACAAATAATTGCTTGTCACTCTTACATTTCATTTGTTTGGATGAAAAACGAAAGTTAACGGAAAATATTTTTTTCTGATCAATGGAAAACAAATTTATTTCGACGGAACATAATTTCTACTTTTAAAAAGTGAAAAACGTTTTCCAGACTAAAATTTTATTAATGTCACCACATCACCACCATTATTCTCACCTCTACCACTATACCATCATCACCACAGCCTTCACCACCATCACTGTCACCGTCGCCATCACCACCATGCCACCACCTCCACCTCCACCCCCACCCCCAACTCCACCTTCGTTCTATCTCCACTTTCGTTCTATCACCACTATCACCAAACATAAAAAATAAAAAAATAAAAAAAAAATTATTTTTCACTCAAATAAACGAAACTTAATTGCACTATCGAACAAACCCAAAAAGATTCAAACGATAATAGAATTTTGAAATAAGGAGGGAAGAGATAAATTCAAAACAAGCAAGGAATTCTCTATTTTTAAATTTCACTATTTTTATTGTTGCTACACAATGTTTCTAAATTTTTATACCTCAAAACTCTTTATATATAACCCAATATTGTAAGTGTATTGAAATGAAACAATAAAAAAATTACAAATTTGTTTTAGTATAAATCTTAAGGGGTTGGTTTAATGGGTGCAGTTTGGAGGTTTGGGAATGTATTATCTCCAAGTCTCATATTCAATTTTTATTAAGTACTCTCAATTTCTTAAAATCACATTTACGAGTACTGTTCAAAATTTATCGAGGTGAACTGAGAATAAAGAATATTTGGACGAAAGAAATTACAACACTTGTGTCAAGAGTAGTGGCGTTTTCTTTGGCGGGGATAAAGAGACAGGTGTAAAACAACCTAGCCGTCTCTCTCCCTCCATTTGACCACTCTCAAATTTTAATTGCAATTTTTGTCATTAAACTATTTTAAATATCCATATTATTCAACATATAAAAATACAAATATGATTATAATATATATACCTTCACTTGCAGGCTTCAACTTGTATAAAAAATATATATTTCATATTTTTTGGATATTTTTTTTTTTGGGGGTGGGGGGATTAAATATATTTTGGATTTTACTTTAGATATTTAATTCTAGTTGTATATATTTTAAGCTAGAAATCAAGTGTGTCTGTATGAACAATCCAACAAATAAAATATGAAACACCATTTAGAATCTACACAGCTGCAGTGACTAACAATCAAATAATTTACAAAAATAGGTCTTGTTAATGCCGATTCAATAGAAGTTTGTCAAGAAGTAAATAATATAAATAAAAAATTCAATACACATTTCAGACATTTTTATATTTTTTTTAAATACGTTTTTACACACATACCAATATTAGCTATTGTATGTTGTGCTATGATTAGTATTTTTCTATAAAAATAGGGAAATTCTAATATACATCCTTTCAAAAATAGTATATAATATATATCTCTAATTATGACATTTTTTTCTTTAGTTAGTTATGACTATTTTTTTTTATTTAGTTATAATATTATTTTAATTATGACTCATCTCATGTTGTGTTTAGTTATAATATTTTTTTCTTTCTTTTAGTTATGATTCATAAAATTGAAATTATACTATTTTTCTTTTTAGTTATGAGGTGTATGTGATGCACACTCTTTAAAAGGTATGCACCATAGTATTTCCTGTAAAAATAATACAATAATATTATAATTATGAAATTTAAGTATCAAACTTTGAATATTAAATGTGTTACTGATGAGTTAAGGTCATATTTGATTCACAGGATTAACAGTGAAGATATTAATAATTCCATCAAATTAGTGTGGTATTCACTATCCAATTAGATTAGTAGGATAAATTATCTCATTGTCCATTGTTTGATTTGTATTGGATAAGAAAATACATGAATGTAGGATAATGACTATATTTATTTTCTTTTTCAATCTTACCCACCATTTATGTTTCTTCACAATCTTTACTTTATCAAAAAAATTTCATAAACGTGGTTTTGAAAAAAATTATAAATAAATAAATAAATAAAAGCAAAATAAAAATACAAAATACAAAGACCATGTTTGGTTTATTTTTTAATTTTTTTTAAATATAAACTAATTTTATAAAATAAATATCAAAAAATATTTTTTAATTTTTAAAAATTATTTTTAGCCTTCTAAAATATAAAATTATATAAAAATAATAAGTGTTTTAATTTTTAGTCAAGGGAAAAAAAATATTTTTATTTTATTTCTCAGCTCAGGATATATAATCGCACCCCTACCCCATTACTAATAATCCTACAAATTTGTTTGATTAATTATTCATTGAATTAATAATCTTGATACAAAATTTTAAAACAAACACATGATTATTGGACTTGCGGATTAATAATCTCAATCCTATATTCTAATTCTGTCAATCAAACAAGCCCTAATAACCTTATATATGTTACATCTTTTATAACATATCATATTTTGTTTATCAACAATTTATAGGACACATTCACATTTGTTAAATTCAATAAGTTCAATATAAATGGCATTAATATACAACAAATATGAATGTTTACCATATGACATAATAAACCAAATACAATAACAAAATACTCTTTCTAGTATTATTGTCTCGTTAAAAGACGGTTTACCATGGTTGAATTCAACATATGCTATTATATATGACTACTTACTATTTTATTTCATTTTCTTTTTCTTAGTAAAATCAACCAAACAATTTAGGTAATAGGAGGTGAGTAGTAGTTAGTTGGTGTACCAGCACAATCAATTCCTGGATTCAAATTATAATGGGTCCCTAAAACCAAACCAGCTTGTAAAATTGAGTGTGAATGCAGAGAGATACTTGTCAACCTTTCTCATGGCGGCTAGCTAATAAGCCCTCACCACAAAGACTTCCCCTAAACTTGGCTTAATTAAAGTATCTCCTCCCCATCACCGACTATTGGACCTTTTTAGTCGGTTACTATTACTTTCTAGAATCAACAAAGTCTTTCATTCTTTTTATTTTATTTTCAACCCATAGAATAAGTCAATTCTTCCTCAAGAATACATTGGATTTGAGATATTGTTAATATATATTGTTTTAATTTGTTAGCATTATATTTATTTCAGATTACAAAGATTTTACATCAGAATCTCACCACCTAGAATATGCCACAGTGAAATGGGAAATTCTTAAACTTGTCTTTTACCTAGTACCCAAGTAATTCTGAATTAAGCAGATTGAATTTGAAAAAATATATATAGAATCTAATAAAGAAACAGAGGTATCAAAATAAGAATCTTGTCACAATGGTTAATTAAATTTAATACTAGTAGAAAACTGACCCCTGTCCCCTTGAATTAATCAAAATTCATAAGACTAGATTCTTCCTTCCAACCAAACAGCACCCAAAAACAAAAACATCACAACCGAGAGAGAGAGAGAGTTAAAAAAATCACGTCAACCATAACTAAATACTTAAAGAAAACATCGTTATGTACATATGTGTTGTGTAAAGCCAATTTCTTTTCCCTCTCTACCTCTACTATTTTCTTCAACCTGCCACCAGACAGTCAGCAACAAACCAAACCCTAATCACAACTCACCACCACCATCTATTTACTATTGGGAGAATTGAATTTCAATGAACAAAAAAATGAAAATAATTGCAAAATCATAGGGGAGTGTCAAGCATACTTGTACCTCCATATTTTTGCAATTATTTTTATTTTTTTTATTTACAGAAACACAATTCCAGCTTTCTTTTCCCCCCTTGTTTTACCTCATTACACAATTTGAAATGGTGGAAGTGGCCCCCCATAATAACAAACTATCACCAAACCCACCTCCTCTCCTTAATTATATCTTATGCATACATGCCCTAACTCCGAAGCAAGGTATATACCCTTTTGGAGAATCCCCCCAAAACCAATTGCCAATACAGTGGTCTTCTTTCTTCAAGAGTATGATCTGATCAATCCCAAATTGTATAGATTCCTTCTCACTAGGCTCCCAAGTGATAACAACACAGCCCCACCAACCCCTACTGTTTCCTCATCACTTTCTGCCTTTTGATGATGTATCAATGGCAATTCATTCACTTTCAAGATACTCATTCCAATTTTTTGTCTCACTGATTCGATGATCTTTGGGTCTGCAGGGTACCCACTCGCATCCGTCACGTAAAAAACATTTAAAGCCGTCTCACTTGTAGTCGATATCTCCGCCCTTGTAATGTTTAGACCATTTTCGCGGAAGGTTCTGGTTACATCCGCCAAGAGCCCGCTCCTATCGGCTGTGCATAGCTCTAACCTCACACCCTGTCATCACAAAACTAGCCTATGAGACTTTCAAATCTTATACAACAATTCACAATTCAATAATTCTTGTTGTCAAAGCGGGAAAAGAACAATACCTCGGATGCTCTCCTTTCTATTGCAGCTTGTAAGCATAGAATCACCCGTTGCTTTTCAGCTTCTGAACTAATTGGGGTATCATCTGTGTGCCTAATGAAGAACTCCTGAAACCAAATTAAACAAAACCCAGGTAAATAAACTCTGAAATTTAAAATTTTACATTGAATTCATGAAAGGATTCAAGAATATATTATTACCAAATATGCTGTGTCCCCTGTTGTGTTGATGGTGGCATGGAAGACAACATATTCCATATCTGTCAACGTGCATACGACATCAAACAGAAGCTTCGTTCGGTCCTTGCACTGAATGTTCACAATAGAGTAACACCGCTCCAAGCAGTTCTGAACCACAACAAGAGGGCGATCGCCACTGGTCCTTATAATGGGCTTACGCTCATAATCACGATCTGCAAACATCATTTGATGAAGTCTTCGCTCTGTATGTGTAACGGCCATGGATACTGTTGTCTTGGCACTCCGGATATCATTATCCCCTTTAAGCACATTTCTCAACCGTCCTTCAATTCTATTGATCTTTTGGGAATCTTCAATGGGGGAACCTGAATCACAATCCTTTACATAAATGAGTGAAGCAATTCTTCCATTATGGGTCCACATTTTCGATTCAACCACGTTGCATTGCAGATCAGATAGCACTGCAAACACCTCGGACAATAGGCCGAGCCTGTCTGTTCCGGTTAGTTCCAGAGCTGTCAAGCCATCGATGCATTTTGATGTCGCATAATGAATTGTACCAAGTGACTGCAGCAACACAAATCAAAAATTAATTAATTATTTAGTTTTCATCAATTTAAATAGTGATTAAGATTTGAAAGAATTTTTTTTTTTTTAATACCTTTTCAATGTAATTAATAACGCTCTCGTCCGCTAACTTGTTTCCCTTCAGATCAGTCACGTGAAATACTGTAAATGCAAATTCTAACCACCATTAATGGAAATTCTCAAGAATCTTCAGTTTCATTCTTTTTGAAAATATAAATACGCTAATGTGCTCCTGGGAGGAGGCGCAGTTTAGCAGAAGCTCCATAATTGAGATTAAAAAGGAAGGTTTCGCTGTGCTTACCGTCCATGAACCACCTTCCATCGGAAGATATGTACGCTTTCTTAATCGAAAGGTTTAGATCCGTGAGAACTTGAACCGCTTCTAGAAGAATTCCGTGTTTTCTCACACTATCAACCTGGAAAATTCCAAGGGAAAAGAAACGAATAGTCAAAAATTTTGTCAGATTTTGTCTCTATTGATGAGTGTTTTTTGTTAGGGTTTCTGAGAAGCTTACCATGACCAAAGTTGCGTTGGCAGAACAAGCATTGTCGATCATGACTCTGCAATAGAAGAGCCCAAGACAAGTCAGAGAAGAACAAGCATTGTCGATCATGACTCTGCAATAGAAGAGCCCAAGACAAGTCAGAGAGGCCTTTTTTTCCACACACGAAAATTGAATTGTGAATGTGAATGCAAAATTGTCGTAAATGGAAAAGTCAAGTACGAAATTATGGAAAGAAGAATAATGAAGATCAGAGATCAAAGATTTCGGAAGGAAAAATAGAAAAGTACGAAACAAAAAGCAAAAAAGAAAAAAAAATAATTAATTAAATAAATAAGAAGAAATTACACAGTATCTACAAAAATTAATTTCTGATTCTGAAATAGAAACGAAAATTGAATTGTAGAATGTGAATGCAAAATTGTCGTAAATGGAAAAGTCAAGTACGAAATTATGGAAAGAAGAATAATGAAGATCAGAGATCAAAGATTTCGGAAGGAAAAATAGAAAAGTACGAAACAAAAAGCAAAAAAGAAAAAAAAATAATTAATTAAATAAATAAGAAGAAATTACACAGTATCTACAAAAATTAATTTCTGATTCTGAAATAGAAATTTAGAAGTTTTCCAGATGTGAAAAATCAGACTCGGAGAAGCTCCAAATCGAAAATTTTGAAGAACCAAATACACAAAACAGGGTCGACTAAAACCATGACTCCAAGAAAATTGCAGAAATTGCTTTACTTGCTCATATTCACTACAAAGCAAGAAGAGCTCAAAACATTGACGTTGATAGCAAAACTGACCTCGGAGTGTTCATCCTTGTCACGAGCTTTTCATACTCGTCCAAATACGCAGGCCACTCCATGCTAAACTTTCTTTTTGCTTTTGATAATTTCTCGAGAAACAAACAAGCCAAATATACAAAGCACCAACCAGATCAAGAGCTTTATATATATATATATATATATACTTCCGAAATTGAACTTAAATAGACCTCGAAATTGAATCCCTGAACGAGCGACGAGTTGTACAAAGAACCAGCGAAGCAAAACAGCGAGTCTTTGTATGAAACAAGGCGAGCAACAATGCCAGTTATGTGTGTGCTCTCTCTCAGAAATTTTTACACTAATCGACCTAAAATTGGTAAGAAAGTATTTTTCTCTCTAGAATTGATTTGGATTTTCTCTCTCTAGATAGTCGAAGCACAAAGCACGCTTTGTTGTTGCCCCCTTTGCTCCTGGGTCATATTTATATTAATATATTTTAATTTTATTACTAATAATATTTATGTTTCTGAAACCACGCCTATACGCAAAGGGTGGGGCGGTCACGTGGCGTGACTAATGCTTGCCCGACATACTGCCCAAACTGACCGCTCTCTGTCTCCCAATATTGTTGTGAGGTAAAGTGATTTGAAAATGTGCCTTTACATGTATTAATTAGTATATTAATTATTATATTAATATCAGTAATAATATTATTATTAATTTTAATTATTATATAAATTATAAAAATTAAAAATATTTTAAATTATATTATATCATCAATTGATATATAAATTGATAAATATAATATTAATTGATTTGAAAAATTAGCTAAAAGTTAACTTTTCAATTTTTTTTTTTTGTTTTTTTTTTGTTTTTTTGTGTATAAAAAATATGATAAGTGATTTGACTCAAAATAATTTAAAAACTAAAAAAAAAAAAATTATTTTACTTCCCCAATGGCACCGGTGTAAATTATGCACCGGTGTAAATTATTGTTCGCGATGTAAAATTATGCCCTCCTTTTTTATGAGACTGCCCGATCAAAATAGTTGAAAAAAGTAAAATAAATTAAAAATTAATAAAAAAAATATCACATTTGAATTATAATTATTTTATTTATTTTTTTACAAAAGTTAAAAAAATTAAAAAGGCCAATTCAAATAATTTTTTTTAATTCTAAATTAAAATAATCGAAAAATTAAAAAGTCAACTCACTCTCGAAATGAAACTTATAACTCATAATTTGTCTTTTTAAAATTTAACAATTAATATTTTTTTGTTAAAATTTTATAAAAAATATATTCAGCTCATAAATTTAGATTTAGATTTAAATTTTTTTTTCCTCAAAAAGGTTTAGGCATTAACTCTCGTAAAATGACTAAAATACCCCCTCTACATATAAAACATACGAAATTCTCTAAAACCTCATCTCCTTCTCTCACTCCTCTTTCGATCAATGTCCCTCTCTTTCTACCCTTTTCACGCACTCAACATCTTTCTCTTCTATCTTTTCATCGAAGGCTCTTTTATAGCCAAGGCACTAGCGACAACTCCCGTTTCCGCTAGCAGAACTATCTCGCCCTTCGCTTGACAGTTTCACCTGCGAATCTCACCGATCTGAAGATTTTCAAGGTTTTGCCAAAGAACTATTTGGCTATTGAGAATTATGAATTGTTTCCCTAAATTGAAGAGTTGTTGATGTAAAAATTAATGTACATGTAACCATAATAATGCAAAATTGAACTTTACATAATATTGAATTCAATACATCTTAAGAATAAAACTATACATCTCAAGAATAAAACGAACATATCTCTGTCAGTCATTGAATTAGAGAAATTGAGAAAATATCCCTAATAATTGAATCTTGGATTCTTGGCTCACCTTCTTCTCTATGTCTCTCTTAATTAGGATGACTATAAAACTTTGAATGATGAAAAAATACTCATATTATGTAAGGGGAGTCACCTATCCTTATATAGAGAAGAGAAGATGGCCAGATAAACTCTATCAGAAGAATTCATGTCCATCAAGGTTTCCTTCTTATCTTAGAAGAGTAATTATCCCATATTTAAAATTCTAATTACTGAATTTTATCTCAAATATTGACTTTATCTAGTTGTGGAGTCCAAATAAAATAAAACATGTAAAAGATATGTAGGCTATTGGGTCATACCAGAAAATAAGTCCAACATTCTCCCACTTGACCCATTAAGCCAATTATGATGCAACTATGAGTTTTTTTTTCTTTTCTTTTCAAAATATGCAATATAAAAATAAATTTGACTCATTGGATTCCATACTAAAAACTTTGACACGTGATCACGAAATTTTAAAAATAGCCAATAAGTTCAAATATATTAGAAACTATAATACTGTGATTACTTTAGATCACCAATGTGAGTTATAGCGATTATATAACATTTATGTCATATTTCCTTCTATGCACCACACCATCGATAACCTTCACCAACCCAGTCCATTATCGGGATATGTAATTATTTGCCTAAAAGGCTCCTGTAATTTGTCTTGTTAAGACATTTCATGTTTATCAATATTCAAATTAATGTGTATACACACTTTTAGAAACAGGGAAATAGAAACAAAATTATTATTACGCAAATTGTATCAAATAAAAATAAGAACTCAAGATTAACCATACAAATCATGGGTTGCTTAAAAGACTCATCCTGATAACATGCTCTTTGTATGTCTTTGGTGGGAATCCCTTTGTGAATGGATCAGCAATCATAAGAGAGGTGCTTAAGTTTTCAATTAACACTTTTTGTTTCTAGACTCTTTCTCTAACAACTAAGTACTCTATTTTCATGTGTTTGGAACCACCGGAGTACTTTTCATTCTTAGAGAAGAAAACTGCTGCGATATTGTCATAATATATCTTCAACAGCATGGCAATTGAGTCAACAATACCAAGTCCTGAGATGAAATTTCGCAACCATGAAGCATGATTTGTAGCCTCAAAGCATGCCACAAACTTAGCCTCCATAGTAAATAAAACAATAGTGGACTGCTTCACACTCTTCCATAGAATTGCTCTACTAGCCAATAGAAAAACAAAACCTGATGTAGATTTTCTACTATAAAGACAACCAGCAAAATTTGAGTCTGAGTATCCAGTCACTCCCAACTGTTCTGATCTCCTATAGGTGAGCATATAGTCCTTCATTCCCTGAAGATATCTCATAACTTTCTTCACTGCTTTCCAATGTTCCATTCCAGGATTACTTTGGAATCTTCCCAACATTTCAACTGCAAAACTAATATCTGGTATGGTACATGTATGGGCATGCATTAAGCTCCCTACTACTGATGCATATGGAATGTCCTTCATTTGTTTTCTCTCCAAGTCATTCCTTGGACATTGTTTTTCACTTAATTTATCACCCTTCATGATGGGTGTATCACCGGCTGAACAAAACTGCATATTTAATCTCTCCGAAACACGAATATATCCTTTCTGAGATAGTCCTAGCAATCCTCAAGATCGATCCCTAAAGATCTCTATGCCAATAACATAATTTGCCTCACCCATATCGACCATTTTAAAGTTCTTGGAGAGATATTCATTGGTTTTATGCAATAAGCCAAGGTCATTACTAGCTGCAAAATGTCATCCACATATAGCACCAAAATAATGAACTTACTCCCACTAACCTTTAGATATATGCACTGATCAACTGCATTTTTCTTAAATCTGAAGGAGGTAATGGTATCATTAAAACTTAAATATCATTGCTTAGAAGCTTGTTTAAGGCCATATATGAATTTCTTTAATTTGCAAGCTAAATGTTCTTTACCTTTCTTTGCAAATCCTTCTAGTTGCTCCATATAAATTTTTTCATCCAAAGTCCCATTTAAAAAAGCAGTTTTCACATCTATTTGATGTAACTCTAAGTCATAATGAGCTACCAATGCTAGGATGATTTTAAGCGAGTCCTTCTTAGATACTAGAGAGAAAAACCCTTTGTAACAAGTCTGGTTTTAAATCTTTCAATATTGCCTTTTGCGTCGCGCTTGGTCTTGAAGACCCATTTACACCCGACCTTTTTACAATTATTAGGCAATTCAACGAAATCCCAAACACCATTTTGTTCCATGGATTTTAACTCTTCATTTATAGCATTGACCCATGTAGTAGAATCATTACTATTCATGGCTTGTGAAAATGAGACTGGATCTTTTTTAATCTTAATATCAAAATCAGATTTATGTAGATACGCCATGTAATTATCTGGAATAGCAGGCTTTCTTTCCCTCTGAGATCTTCTCAGAACTACTGGTTGTGGTGATTTTATAATATTTTTATGGTGGTTTCTTCATGAAGTGCTGAAACATGAGGTGGTGAAAGATTTTCATTATATCGTTTGTTTCCCTCAGCCTCTGGAATAGTCTGAGGAACAACAATTTTTCGATAAGGGTCAAATGTTGGCACATCCACCCTAATTTTCTCGAAATTCTCCACTCATGTTTTCTCACTCCCATTAATTTCACCATTCTTTAGGAATCTAGCATTACCAGTTTCCACTATCTTGGTACTGTGATTAGGACAATAAAATTTGTACCTTTTAGACTTGTCTGGATAACCAATGAAATATCCAGTTATTGTTCTTGAGCCAAAATTTTTCTTTTGTGGACTGAAGATTCTTGCCTCTACTGGACAGTAAGTGTCTTAAACTAGATTTCCTACCAGTCCACAACTCAAAAAGAGTTGTTGGGACCACCTTACTAGGAACCCTATTTAAGATATACATTGCAGTCTTTAAAGCTTCACCCCACAGTGAAATGGGTACAATTGAGTAAGTTAACATACTCCTAACCATATCTTTAAGTACGATTACGCCTTTCAACAACTCCATTCTGCTATGGCGTACTAGGCATTGTATATTGAACACGAATGCTTTTCTTTTCTAAGAATTTGGCAAATGGGCCAGGATTTTAGCCTGACACATCATATTTACCATAATACTCACCACCCTTGTCTGATCTCACTATTTTAACCTTTCTATCTAATTGTCTCTCGACTTCAGTTACATACACCTCAAGGATGTCAACAGCTTGAGACTTTTCATGAATTAGATACACATATCCATAACGTGAGAAATCATTTATAAATGAGATGAAATATTTTTCATCACTAAGACATGGGATGTTGAGTGGTCCGCAAATATCTATATGAATTATCTAAAGAAGCTCATTACTTCTTGTGGCACCTTTCTTGGTGTGTTTGGTTTGCTTTCCTCTAATGCAATCCACACATATCTCAAAATCAATGAAGTTTAGGTTTTCCAAAATCCATTCTTTACTAATTTTTTAATTCTATTTCTAGAGATATGCCTTAACCATCTATGCCACAAGATTGAGGATTTTTCATTAATTAGACCATATTTTAAACCAATATTTGAATGCAGAGTTACTAACAATTATGCAAACTCATGATTTAAG